TTTATTACTCTTTTTGTCAGTTCAGGCTGCTAAAACAAACACCACAGACTGGGTGGTAATCAACAAATGTTTATTTCTCACTGATCTGGAGGCTGGGAGGTCCAAGGTCGAGGTGTGGTAGATCTGGTGTCTGGGGAGAACACTCTTCCTGGTTGCTGTGTCCCCATCTGGTAGAAAGAGAGTTCTAGTCTCTTTCTTTTCTTAGAAAGATGCAAATTCCATCACGGAGTTCCATCCTCACGCCCTCATCTAGACCTCAGCACTTCCCAAAGACCCAACTTCCAGATACCATCACATTGACGATTAGGGTTTCAGCATATGATTTTGGCGTGGGACACCTTCAGTCCATGGCAATGGCACATTAACTTTTTGTGTGCTCTGACAGGTGGAGGGGAAGAGAGCTTAAATCCAGGATCATTTTGGTTGAGGATCATCCTGGTGGGCAAAACAGGCAGCGGGAAAAGTGCCACCGGGAACAGCATCCTCTGCCAGCCAGTGTTTGAGTCCAGGCTGGGGGCCCAGTCGGTGACCAGGGAGTGTCAGGGCGCAACGGGCACGTGGGATGGGAGGAGCGTCCTGGTGGTGGACACGCCCCCCATCTTTGAGGCGACGGCCCAGGACCAAGAGGCCTACGAGAACATCGGGGACTGCTACCTGCTCTCGGCCCCGGGGCCTCACGTGCTGCTGCTGGTGACCCAGCTGGGGCGCTTCGCAGAGCAGGACGTGGTGGCCGCGACCAGGGTGAAGGAGGTCTTTGGGGCGAGAGCCCTGAGACACACGATCGTCCTCTTCACCCACAAGGAGGACTTAGCGGACGGATCCTTGCGTGACTACGTAGCAAACACAGACAACGTGAGGCTGAGGGGCCTGGTCCGGGAGTGCGGGCAGAGGTACTGCGCCTTCAGCAACCGGGCCTCCGGGGACGAGCAGAGGAAGCAGCTGGCCGAGCTGATGGCCGTGGTCGAGGGGCTGGAGAGGGAGCTCCAGGGCGCCTACCTCAGCAACGACCTCTTCTTTGATGCACAGCGGCTCCAGCAGGGCGGGGGCGACCCCCATGGAGAAGGTCTCGTGCGCTACCTGGCCCAGGTGCGGTCGCATGTTGCGAAGCAAAAGCACGACCTGAAAGAGGCCCAGAGAAACCGGGCCTTCAAGGCTGTCCTCCGAGTCAAAAACTGGATCGTTGTGCATGATGCTCTTTGTGTTTGTCTTGTTTGGTGCAGCTTAGTTTTTCTTCTTATTCTGCTGATCATCTGGTATCATCTTTAATTCTCTGTCTCATCTGTTTGTCAGAGCCTTTTCTAAAGTATCACCTCAAGGATTCATTGTTCGTTTCAGAAATAAATTCTGTTGGTCTGCAGAGGACATGGTTTGTCATCTCCGCAGCTCCCATCTTCCTTGTAGGTTTCTGGCTCGGTTCATGCCTCCACCAGTCCCTCGGTGAAGCCACGTGCCTCAGAGGAAGATGACGATGGCTCAGTTCGAGGGATACCTGGCTGGTCTATATACAATCTCATTTTCTTTGTAGTGAGCAGCTCAGGCGTAGGCCTGAGACCCAATTCAGGCCAATGGGAAGTGAGAAAAAGTCTGCAGAGGTGGGGCCAGAAGCTTTCTCCTTGCCCAGGAGAGACCCCCATAGAGAGACAGTCTCTTCCACCTCTGAGCATTGTTGGACCTGAGTGTAAGGCTTGCAATGACAGCAGCCGTGTGGCTACCGACCTGAGGTTGAAGCCAAGCAGAATGATGGAGTCAACCCGAGCCACCGACTCAACCGCCTTGAAGTTTGCACTATCTCTGGGTTTCCAGTATGTCAGCCAATAAATTCCCTTATTGCTTAAGCTATTGGAGTTTGGGGTCTCTTTTACCTGTATTTGAAAACATTTGAACTAATGAAGAGTTCTCCATATCCTTTAAAAAAAATCCTTAAATCTATCAGAACTTTCCTGTGAGTAAGTGAATCGAGACTAAATAAATGAATTTCTCTTTTCTTGTTCCTAGTATCAGGAAGGACCTCCCTCTACAGCCGAATTTCCTGCTTAGAGTAGACATTCACTGAATCCTGAAGAAAGTGAAAAATCCCTAGAGTTGTATTATTTTGGAAATGACAAAAGGAGGGGGCAGAGTAAATGGATGATCCCTAGGTGCGTGTTTTCCGTGCTTCCTTTATCCTTTGAGGGAGAAACAGAGCTCATATTTGAACACTTTCCAAGGAATTACTTTGGCGAACATTCATGTGCGAGTACAGGTTGAGCAAAACCCTTTCTCCTTCTCTGCTGTAAAATATCCTTGGGTTAACCCTCTGGCTTTATTCCTCTTGGAAATCAACAAAGGTGGAATGTCATCTGGATTACTGGGCAACGCTGCTCCTGGGGAAAGAGATGACTTCTTGGTGCCGGGAGGCCTGGGAATGGACCATCTACACACCTGGAGGGAGACCGTCCTCCTGCAGCCCTGCTCTCTAATACTTTCTTGGGCCGAGTTCCTGCCTGGTAGGGATGCCTTCCCTGGAGGGAGGATGAGACCGCCCCGCCCAGAGGGCTTCAAGGACAGCACATCCAGATCCAAAGTCTGGCTTCCTCTGCACAGCCCACTCTCCCTCTGAGGGTCTGGCAGAGTGCAGGGAGCCACTGTCACAGGGCGGCAAGACGGAAACCTGGCTCCCTCCCGACCTTGCTGCTAGTGCCTACACTGTGTCAGTTCCACCCCGTTGGTGTCGCCCCTCCGCGTTCTCTCCTCTCCTTCCCCACGCCTCGTGCTATGGCGCAGACTCTGATGGCCAAGATGGAATTCTTTTCTTCTGAATGTTATCCTTTGTTCTCAGGCTTACACTTATTTAGTCCAATGGCCACATTGCTGCAGCATGATCTTCCTAAAATTCCTAACTTGCTTAAAAGCCTTGGGGAGGTAGCCCTTGAACCCTGGGGGTGACGCCCAGGGCCCCACCCAGCCAGGTCCCTTCCTGCATCCCTCCTACCAGGATTCTCATTCCCCTCCTTGAGCGTGGGCTCCCTCCTCCTGAGTGAGTCCCGGGAGGGAGGGTCCGGCACATTCCTAGAAGCCCAGCCCTACCCTGGCTAGGTCGCCTCTGCCCCCCCCCCAACCCCCCCCCCCGCCCCCCGCTCCGAGCCCGCCCCCTCCTTCTGGCTGACACATTTCTCTCATACCCATTTTATTTTTATTTTTATTATTTTTATTTTTTTTGCGGTATGCGGGCCTCTCACTGTTGTGGCCTCTCCCACTGAGGAGCACAGGCTCCGGACGCGCAGGCTGAGCGGCCATGGCTCACGGGCCCAGCCGCTCCGTGGCATGTGGGATCTTCCCGGACCGGGGCACGAACCCGTGTCCCCTGCATCAGCAGGTGGACTCTCAACCACTGTGCCACCAGGGAAGCCCTCTCATACCCATTTTTATATGCCTTTATCCCCCTACCGCGCTAAGCATAGAGCCCGACCACTCAGTGCTCACACAAGTGTTGGTGGAGCGGGACTGAATGAAGTCAAGGAAGGGAGAGACCAAGTTAGGTCAGACCGTTTGGAAACAATGCATTGAGGAGGGGGTCCTTGGTCTGAGAACGCAAGAGTTCCTTGGGGTTTCAAGAGTTTGTGGAGCTCAGACATAGCACTCCTTGCACAAGATTGGAATCAGTTATGGGGTAGCGCTGTAGAGACCAACACGCACCGTAGTTCCAGTGGAGGTTTGCAGCATGACGCTTGGGCATCACAGTCGAGTTCCTGAGATTCACTCTAGCGTATTCATCACTTGCCCATCCAGTCACAGGCTGCCTGGGACGACTGCGGGTCTCCCCTACAGGGTACGAAGCAGGGGCTGGGGGCGGCAGCTATCCCAAAGGAGAAGCTCGGAGGGGGCCGCACAGGGCCCTCCTCTCCGGATTTCCTGTTTCCACTGACTTCGTGACTCCCACTCAGATTTCACCCCAATGTCTGCTCTCTTCTCTTTGCTACCATTGAAATGGGCAACGCCACCCTTTCCCCCAATTTCTGCAGGTATCCCACACGACTCCGGGGTTCAAGACGTTCCACTACATTGCAGCTCAACCCACGATGGAAAACTTCCTAAGACGGGGGTCGGCTAACCGCAGGCTGCAGACCTAATCCAGCCTGCCGCCAGTTTTGCATAACCTGTGAGCTAAAAAAGGGCTTTTACATTTATTGAAGGGTGAAGAAATCAAAAGAAGCAAAATGTTTCACATATGGAAAGTACACGAAATTCAAATTTCATAAAGTCGTATGGGGATGCAGCCTGGCCTGGCACTTGCATCTTGTCCACCGCGGCTTTTGCGCCACAAGGGAACGGTTGAGTGGCTGCAATGGAGACCAGATAGTCGGCTAAGCCTGAAATACTACCCTTACAGTCTGGCCCTTGCCAAGCCCCGCTCTAACAAATTCCAGTTCCTTAATTTCCCAGGCACTGGCCCTGCACAGACCCCCTTCCCCTTCTTCCCCCTCACCCCCAGGCCCCTCCCCTCAGCCTCTGCAGGCCCCAGAGACCACCCCTGCCCCCCACTGAAATGTCCTCATCTTTCTCTCTTTGGGGGGAGGGGTGCCTTTTTTTTTTTTTTCTCACAGCCTACAAGGAAGTCAGAGTACGTTTCTGAATAAAATAAGGAATTCCACTACCAGCTTTTAATATAACATGTTTCTCTCCTCAACAGCAAGGCTGTAAAAAGTAGGTCACAGAAGTGAGATGCTCACACAGCATGACAGTCCACTCACGCTCCTTCCTGCAAGCTCCCTAATATTTCACGACTGTATCCAGTTAGTTTATTATTTGCTTTCACCATTTTTAACAAAACAAACAGGGTATTTTCCTTTGGATTTTATTTACCTAAAATGCAGCTGAAGAAAATGGATGGTGTGTCTGATGCAAGGAAGGGAAATTGAAAGTGAAACTACATGAAAAGCAAATAAAGTTCCTTATCAACATAGACAAAGATACTGACTCTGAAAAAATGGAAGCTGATGGCAGCTATCATCTGAAAATGCTCAGCATTCGTGAGTGCTACACAAGCTAATTAAAATGGCAAGAAAACTCAAAAAGCATATAACAAAAACAGCAAATATTCTGATGTGAGAAATGATCCAGTTTTTGACTCGGAGGACAGCCTTGAAGGCCCGGTTTCTCTGGGCCTCTTTCAGGTCGTGCTTTTGCTTCGCAACATGCGACCGCACCTGGGCCAGGTAGCGCACGAGACCTTCTCCATGGGGGTCGCCCCCGCCCTGCTGGAGCCGCTGTGCATCAAAGAAGAGGTCGTTGCTGAGGTAGGCGCCCTGGAGCTCCCTCTCCAGCCCCTCGACCACGGCCATCAGCTCGGCCAGCTGCTTCCTCTGCTCGTCCCCGGAGGCCCGGTTGCTGAAGGCGCAGTACCTCTGCCCGCACTCCCGGACCAGGCCCCTCAGCCTCACGTTGTCTGTGTTTGCTACGTAGTCACGCAAGGATCCGTCCGCTAAGTCCTCCTTGTGGGTGAAGAGGACGATCGTGTGTCTCAGGGCTCTCGCCCCAAAGACCTCCTTCACCCTGGTCGCGGCCACCACGTCCTGCTCTGCGAAGCGCCCCAGCTGGGTCACCAGCAGCAGCACGTGAGGCCCCGGGGCCGAGAGCAGGTAGCAGTCCCCGATGTTCTCGTAGGCCTCTTGGTCCTGGGCCGTCGCCTCAAAGATGGGGGGCGTGTCCACCACCAGGACGCTCCTCCCATCCCACGTGCCCGTTGCGCCCTGACACTCCCTGGTCACCGACTGGGCCCCCAGCCTGGACTCAAACACTGGCTGGCAGAGGATGCTGTTCCCGGTGGCACTTTTCCCGCTGCCTGTTTTGCCCACCAGGATGATCCTCAAAGAGGACGAGGTTGCAAACAGCTTATGTTCTATCCCGCCTATAAAAAAAAAAAAAAGAGTTTTTCGTGTTTTACTAAGTCAGTGATTAAAAAAAAATTTTTATTTTATCTTGGAGTTTAGTTTATTAACAATGTTGTGTTAGCTTCATGTGTGCAGCAAAATGATTACGCTATACATATACGTGTATCTATTCTTTTTCAAATTCTTTCCTCATTTAGGTTATTTCAGAATATTGAGCAGAGTTCCCTGTGCTATACAGTAGGTCCTGTTGGTAAAGTTAGTGATTCTTAAGACTTTTAGGTCACTGACCTTTCATGGTATCTCATGAAAGCTATGGACCTCTCTCCCTGCCTAATAGTGATATTTAAATACATACAGATGTTTGCATACAACTTTAGGCGACTCTTGAATGGCAGGAAGCCCACACTGGGAGCCTGAACTTGGACCCACAGCCAAGAGTAAGAACTGCTACACTATGAAGGATGCTCCAAGGACTTCATCAGGACCAGGGACACTACAGCTTTCAGAAAGCTGGTCCCTGTGCTTTTCCAGGGATGGTGCTTAGCCCAGTTTCATGCTAAATAAATGTGAGATTAGAAAGAGGTGGAGGATGAGAAGTCATCAGTGAGAAACTATTATCACCTCTCTTTCACCCACCAATTAATTCCAAGGCACACAGGCTGCCAGTCACATTCATCTGAACCTTGGGGGTAAAGGAAGTCTCAGATGTCAGAGCTCCACTGACCTACCACCGAGGACCAGCTGAATGTCCCCGGGTTTCCTCTTTTTGGGTGGGGAGTTGGATGTTTGAACGTGAGCCTAGAGAAGGCTTGTCGTTAAAGTCAAGGACGGAGTCTGACAGATGACCCTGGATCGGTGGCTGAGGAAGAGATGATAAGACCATCATGTGTAAGAAATACATGCGTTGGAAAGATCGTCAGTTTGGCTGATAGAATGACAGGAAATTAGAACAAAAGTGGTGTTGTCGAGGGTGACCCTGCAACAAGAGCTAAAATCTTCAAGGGATGAAGAGAGTGAGAATCCAAGGATTTCTGGAGTTCTTATGAGCTCAAATGAATTAAGTTCATTTTAGTCTCCTAAAATCTGTTATTGTTATTCCTTTTACTTTGTGTTGGTTCTCCCCTGTCTTAAGTATCCTGGATTTTTTTTTTTAAGCAAACACGATTACTAAATCTTTATGGGGAACTTTTCCTCTTTTCAGTTGAGTGCAGGCCGGGAAGGGTATCATTTTCACAATTCGTTTCTAAGTCCCCTGACTTCTGACTTGAAGTTTCATTTCCTCATTTCCCGTACATCAGGGCACAGGGGAGAGCTTCACACTCGGGCGTGTGTGGCTGTGATGATGGTGGGGAAGATAAGAACATGATAGCTGCCTTTTCTTCTGCAGCTGAAAATAACTGGGTTTCTTTTCTGTCACTGTGTTTGAGGTGAGGGAGAGGAGGAGAGAAAACAGTGACTCTTCCCTGACGCCTAGAGCTCTTGAGAATTTGGAGGCTTTCTTACCTTCAGCCATGGTCCCGTATCTGCTCCTCTGAAGCCCGTCCATTCTCTTCTGGAATAAAAAAAGGAAAGGAATAAAAAGCAAGTGTCCATATGGGACTTGGTAAGGCCTGAGAACACCTCCAATTCAGACAGCCAAGAATAATTATCCTTAGAGGAGCCGTTTCCATTGCTAATTTTCTAACTTATATTTTACTTTCAAATATCCATATATAACTTTAAGCAAGCCAGGTGATGCTAGGCTATATTAACACAATGAACTCTTGCTTTTTCCTCATCCTATAGGAAAGCATGAAATGTTCGAAAACAAATCAGTTGATTATCTCCCCTCTACATGAAAAGGCATGAAATAAAGTCTTCTATGGAATGAGAAGCAGGATTTTTTTAATTGCTTTATTATTACTATTATCATTGGAATCAAAGTAAGCAAACTCGCTAGACTAGAGAATGAAAATTGCCTTTGCTGTAAATGACATTGGCTTGTTTGAAGCACTGGCCATTTCCAGCCCCAGAAACTCTTTGTATCAGACGGATATCCCGGTGGCAAAGAGGAAAGTCCAATGTACCTTCCAATGGGAGTGTGGAATTGGGGATCCAGGGCTCCTTGGAGCACGGACATGCAGTAGAAGACGGAGGAGCACGGCCACCACCCTCCCTCCCCTTTGAGCAGCTGGTGGAGAGAAGCTGGTGCCATGACTGAGGGATAGAATCAACATTCAGGACAAATTCACGATAAATTCATTTCCTGCTCAGTTTTAAACCAAATGTCTTTCCTTGTGGGTCTCCCAATAACCACTTAAAAAACATTCCAGTACATATAACCAGAAATTGGCAAAACTATGGAGATAAATGTTTCATTCAGATGAGGCATAATATTGTGTCGTTCTTGGCGCTAGAAAAGGTAAGCATGCATTAGAAAAGGCAAGCATGCAATATGCCACTATAATTAAGATGATCTCTGAGACTGTATTTTATTTATTCAGTTTTAAAGATTATGCAGTTATGAAACAAACATTTTAAGGGGAGAAATACACAGAGTAATGAAACAAATGCCCACTCTTTGCAATGAACAGATCTAAGTATTTTGGCATTTTCACTGCTGCTGTTCGGTTTGATTAAGAAAGTTAAAACATTACACATATAGTTCCATTTATTTATTTTTTGACTCCCCCCAACCCGTCTCATTTTCCCTCTTCCCTGCAGAGGCAACCAGTATTCTGAGATACACATGTATGTATAGGTAATACATAGTACTTTTTGGCATTTTAATCTTTTATGTCAGTGACATTATTTATGTAGCATTTTATCCAACTCAATTTTATTACAAACATTTGGTGTGCCAAAATCCATGCTTGCTACCACAAACAGTGCTGCAGAAGAATCCCCCTGCACGTCTCCTTGTGCACATGGACGATTTGTCTGGGATATATAGTTTCCACGTGACAAGATACTGCCAAATATGACTCCAAGAAGCTTAAGTCATACTGGCAGCAGCCATGGGCGAGAATCCCCTAAATCTTCACTCACGCTTGGTGATATTAGATTTTTAATTTTTTGGTCACCCCGATGGGCATATCTTAGGATGTCTTAATTGGTTTAAAGGTGCATTTTATTGATTAACATTGAATTCAAAACGGTTTTCATAGTTTATTTGCTATTCAGGTTGACTCTTATTTCTACCTTTTTCACATTTTTCTGTTCACTCAGTAGGGAAGAATAGAAATGGCCCTCATTAGGGAAACCAGCCCTTGTCACATTCTCAGAATTTATTAAGGCAACTTCCTTCCTTCCTTTCCTTTTCCTTCTGCATCACTTTCCTTTCCTTAAGCCCAGAGAAGAGCATTTTCCTCACCACATTCTCCCACACGCTGTCCTGGCCTCTGGTAAATAACACTCCAGCTTTTGCTAAAACTGCTCAAATCCTCTGACATCGTTTTTACTTCAGACGACAGTTGCTATATATTGGAATCAATATATCGATGTGGTAAAGCCGATGAGGACAGTGGTGACAATGTTGATGATGAACTTTACCATGGTAATAATCCTCTGTGCAGCCATTTGTAATTTTCAAGATTGTTTCATGTCCATTCTTTGAATCATTCTCCTAAATTCCCTATGATGTGATCAAGATAGGTATTAAAATTTCTATTAAAATATTAGGAAACTGAGCCTCAACTGACCTGCCCACGATCACACAACTTCCATGGAGCTAAGACCAAAACATGGCTCATTTTGCCTGTGTATTCCTCTAGATTTATCAGGGTGGAGAAGAGACTATACAGCCAATGAACCTCTTGGAACACCACATACCATACTGCCATCCATGGTCAGGACATAAACTGAAGCAGACAGGCGGGAAGCTTACCCTAAAACTGACAAAGAGAACTGTATTGCAAAATCTTGAGTGCACGTTTTCAAAAAAAAAAAAAAAGATTATTCAAAGGTAAAATCGCAGGGCCAGAAGTTGCTTGGAATGGAAGTATTTCAGTTTAAAGCAATCTGGTGTTTTCCCATGACTCGATGATCAGTGTGACCCAAATAGAGCTCTGTGGCCTCACAAAAGCCAATCAAAGTTCAGGTTACATTAGCAGAGGCGCGCACGGTCCTCCTGAACCGTCTTCTGAGTGGGTCAGGCTGCCGGGGGAGACACGTCCCACCGAGGAGTAGATTTTTTTGGACAGATATTAACAAATAATAAAGTGTGCAGAGGCTAGTCAGAAAGGATATTGATGGAGACGCTAAAATGAGTCATAGAATATTAAAAGGACAGAATCAAGCCTAGGAAAAGATCGGGAAACATCCTAAACTGGAAGGAATGTGACACATGTCAATCACATAGTAGACAGAAGTGGGAGAATCGCGAGTGGAGGCAGATTTCTTCTCCACAAGGAAAACCCTTTTAATCTTCCCCCAGGTGGGATCAGGAATCATGAGAGAGTCGCGGGCAGTATGCGAGCAGAGATTATAAGAGTATCTGACAGGAGCAGCAGGAGGATGCAGCTTAGGTAGGAGGTTGAAGCCAATGAGTATAATGTACCTCCTGATTTGTACATTACACGAAACTGATTTTATCTTGACGGCACCTTACTTTATCAAACCATTGGAAAGCAGGCTCTCTCATGCTGTTTTAGGAAAGATAAAAATAGTTTCTGTCTGCCTGATTCATATTGTCCTTCACCCATCTGCCCCCTCCCTCTGTTTCCTGGTATCACTGGTTTCAGAGTTTAGCATTGTGATTTCATAACGCGGCTCTCACAGGAGCTTTAGCAAAGGGTTGGTTCCTGTACACACTGGAATCTGTTTGCCATAGGGTCGAGTTCGACATCGTGTCTTTGGAGAAGTGTGGGTATTTGGGGGAGAATGGGCTGGTTTTCAGAAGATGAATGAACAATGTTCACTGAGAGGTTCCGTTTGGAGCACGTGGCTCAATGAGGTCGGGAACACAATGACCCCGTACTTGTCCTGTGGAGCCCTAGGAAGAGACTCCCGGTACCCAGGCCTCTGGGGGCGTGGTGCTTGTCAGGGATGGGGCGGGGCTGGTACGGGAAGTTAAGAGCTAAAACTGAGACGTCCGCCCCACCTAGTTAGGGCACCTAGTGAGATTCAGTTTTCTCATCTGTCAAATGGGATGAGAATCTTAGTGAAGCTTTGTGAAACCCCGTGAAGCTTATGAAAGTCAGAAGAGCTAAGAAGTAGGCAACTAGATGGAAAAGACCTCCACGCTGTGGAAAGCTGTGGGCCGTGAAAGCCGGGTGAGCGGTTCCCGAAGCCGCTTCCCTCCCACTAGGCATCCGCGGTTGCCCGTAACGCTCACCATCGGCGCCCCGTTTCACTGATGGGAGAGCCCAGAAGTATGGTAACCGGTGTCAGATCCCACGAGAAATCAGTAGCCCTGACTCAACCGCGGGCTCCAGGACCCCCCCCCCCCACCCCGCCCCCCGCCCCCA